TGTATGTGTGTATACGTATATACAGAAAGTTGGAGGGAGGCACGTAGATAGGGTGTTCGTTTTAAAATAATGGTATCACTATTTTTACTAACAAGTCTACTATGATTTATTCTGCCTTTAAGATGGATCCCACTAGGGGTAGACAGTCAAAAGACTGTTGTCAAAGTCACTTGAAATCCTTATTCTCCCTGGAGTTATGCTGCCACCTTGATAGCCTGTTAAGTTGATTTGTTTCTGTTTGCTTTTGAGTTTTAGGGGTTTTGCTTTTTTTCCTTCTCCTTTGGATTTCGTCTGGCTCCAAAGTCAAAACTGTAATACAAGGAACATTCAGAGAGGTTTCATTTCCATCCTTTTTCTCTTTCCCCGATTTTCATCTCTCTGCATATGCAAAGAACTATTTTTGTTAGTGCTAGATTTATTCATCCATTCTTTAAAAAATAATGTTTTTAAAAATAAAAATTTCTTTCTTACAAAGGGTAGCACGTTGCATACTCTTATGCCTTTTTTTTTCACTTAACAATATCACCTAGAAATTCCTTCTTCTTTAAATATGTTAGTTTGACTTTTTTTTTAAAATCAGACTGGTTTTTTATTTATGTCTTTATGTAAATGCACTGTGGGATATGGCAGTCTGTTATGAATTATAGTATAAAAGAGTGGGCGAGTTAGTGATTTTTAACTGTGGGCTTTATGAAAAGTCTCCCTTTTTTTCTTTGCTTCTCATCATAGAACATAATAAATGTCTTCTTTTTTTTTTTTTTCCCTACCTCTCAGTCTGAAGGAATTCCTGCCCAAAGAGTACATCAAGCAGAGAGGAGCTGAAAAGAGGATATTTCAGGTATCGGACATGTGCAGAAGTTATTCTTTTCCTCACTCCCTGGCCTCATTTATTAGCATGAGAGGGCCCTCGGCAGATGATGGTCACGTAGCCCGTGCGTGGACTCTGCTTGTATGATAAATGATGAGTGGCTCCAGGGTAAAGTCGCTGACAGTTCTACTTTGGGCAAATTTATTACCTTAATCCATACCTTCTTGCTAAAGGTTACTCGCCCTTTTGAGGAAGATGCGCATACATTTAATTTCAAGAGGCATGTCTCGGTAGCAGGGTCCCTGGGTGGCGCACGCAGTTTGTGGTCACCTGCCGACCTAAAAGTTGGCGATTTGATCCTACCCAGCAGGGCCGTGGAAGAAAGGGCTAGCAATCTGCTTCTGTAAAGACTACAGCCAACAAAACCCTATGGAGCAGTTCTACTCTGTAACACGTGGGGTCTCGATGAATCGGAATCGAGTGATCGTCGGCGGTTTTGCTTTTGCCTTTGGTTTTATTTTGGTAGCATTGAAGGAAGGTGCTGTGCCATTAAAATGTCCTGGGGCATTAGCTTCTTTGTCTAGAGACGTTTTTCCAGAAGGCAAAAGGTGAGAACTGGTGCCTTTGTTAAAAATGCAAGTTTATTCTAAAGTTCAAAAACTTGTCCATTCTGGGCAACCAGGA